TGAAATTCAGCGATCAGAAATGCAGTTACAACGATACTATACGACAGTCATCGATCTTCATCGCATTGTGATGAATTTAATTCACAATTTAAATCAACGATTAACTAATCAATTTTTTGGTATGAATGCACGACAAGTTCTCAAACAAATCGAAGCCATTGACGAACAAAAAGTTATCGTATTGATACAGTCATTTAATCTCGTCATTAAAACTGTAATCGACTATACTGAATCATATTACGCCAAAGATAAAGCATATTATGAGACGTTATCGTGTTTTTATCTACAGTCGAATGGTTTTCTTACATGGAAAGATTTGTTTGTCGTAGTCGATCTCATATCAATTCCAGATTTGAACATCGACAAATTGTACAATGAATACTGTGATTTGAAAGTCTTCGACGAACATATTATTCAAACAGACGGCAAACTGAAAGAACAAGTGAATACATTCACTGCAAAACAACATGAACATATTACTTCATCCGCATCGCCAATGATGTCCGAGACTGAGAATGACACATCAGATGATGAAAATATGACACACAAAAGTCGACAAACATCTGACACACATATCCGAAGTGATGAATTGTGGGCTTATTTGTTGAATGTCAATGGCAATACGACACCAAATATGACAAAAATCGTTTCTTATTTATTTTCTATTCCGTGCTCAAATGCTTTCGTCGAATCTATTTTTAGCAAGATGAAACATTCATGGACCGATTATAGAAACAAAATGGATGTACAGCTTATGGCTGCAGAATTGAAGCTTCGAACAAATTGTGAATATACGTGCAGTTATTTTCACGATTACGTTCTCTCACAACCAGTTCTTCTTAGAAAAATTCGAACAAACGAGAAATATGAAAGAAAAAAGCAACGTATATGTGAAAATTGAAGCATACGATATTTAGTTTCAATGTATATATATTTTTTACTGTCAAATATTGTTATTCTTTTTTTGTTTATCATCTACCAATAAACCAAACGAAATCACGGCATAAATTATATGTTGAACGAAACATGTTTGTCTAGTTGCCGCATTAAATCCACTTTCTGATTTTTTCCTGATTTTGATAGGGAAATTTTCTGATCATTTTCTGATTTTCCAATTATTTTTCTGATTTTGAATTTTTTCATCTGGCCACCCTGGATATATACCAAACTTTGTCAGATATTTCCCTGAATTCTAAGCTTCCGATTAAAGATGTTTTGGGCTAAAAATTTTCTATCCAAGCCATAGCTTTATTCCGATTTACTGTTTGGAGGCGCTTTGTTCATGTTACGCACAAAAAGATACGACTTTTTTTCCTTTAAGAACAGTTTCTTTCGTTAGTAAGATATTGGGTACAGTATAGACTGTACGAATAAAATCGATTTCATTGAAATAGTATCACAATGTTTGTTGGGATAAAAAAAAAGACTAAAATATACATTTGTTTTAATCTCTGATACTTTTATCTCTGAAAATATAATAACGCACTGTGAATATGAATAATTCATGTGATCAGAGTCTATGCAAACTGGCATTTAATTATCCATTAACAGCTTGTTAACTGTATGCCAAAAAATGGTTTGTTAATTGCGTAAAAAATCGAATGAAAATTTGCATTTAATCGCCATTATAATGACCTTTTTTTGACTTTGAAATAACGGTAAAAATAATGCCATATTATAGTCAATGTTCGAAAAAATGGCATTTTCGTCCATTTATTAGACCGCGTTAACTAATGCCAAATAAACGTGCGTGTTACATGTCTGTATTGAGGCAGATTTTTATCCATTTCAAAATGGCAAAAAACTGATCATAAATTGACATTTAACAGACAGTCTATAGTCATCAAGTAATTCACCGCTTTATTCGGCCGTCATGGCTAATATAAACGACTCTGATTTTCCTAAAATAATATGGAGTTTTTCTCTTCTTCAGTTATACGACTCATAGAACCTTGCCTCGATGAAATGGTCTGTGGTTCTTGGTGCAGGTGATAGTATCTTAGGTTTCAGAAGATATTTTTTTAACATTTTCTAACTCTCTGAAAATTGATATTTAAATGGCAAAAAAAAGCGACAGGCAGCAGTTAAGAAAGAGCAGCTTCGACCGCATCGAATGGTATATAACACCGGTATATCCGATCAACATTGGACGCTGGACAGAGAATGGAGAAAAAAGATGATGTTTTTCTCACTACACTCCACAGTTAGACTGTATCTAACGTTATACTCGTTCTGATTTCTCTCTAAACATTCAAACGCATGAGAAAACCTTTGGGTTAGTTGCCTCTGTTGAAGTTTATCTTCAAAAAAATTTATTCCATGGGTAACACATAAAGTACGGTGATGGCGCTCTAGCAATCGAAATGTGAAAATGACTTAAATGTACTATCGGAAGCGATCGTGTTCGAATGAACAGGAGATAACAAACTGTTTAGTAACTAACTTGTTTAGCGTTGCACACAGTAACACTAGACAAAATTAGATGGGGATCCGAGTCATAAAAGTTTATTTTAGGTTTTTGTTTGGTACATCATCGGTTCTATGGTGTAGCGGTAGCACTCTGGACTTTGAATCCAGCAACCCCAGTTCAAATCTGGGTAGAACCTGATTCTTTTTTTTCTTATGTGTACATCAACACATGTTTTCTTGCGTTGTGCTTTTTCATTTTCCTTCCCGTACAATTCTATTATTCACAGTATTTGAAAGCTACTTTTCTTTAAAGCAATGCGTAATTTAATATATATATACAATCATGAGTCAAGGGAGGTATTGCGGAAGCTGTCTAGAGAAATGATGGATCTTCTATATTATTCAGTTCCAATCTGAGAATCAATATTGAATGAAAGAAATTTGATCCCACCCATCGAGGTTGAGCTGGAAGACGCCTCATTTTATTCTATTCATCGATGCGTTTTTGTTTTCGATTTTCAAATACATTAATATTTAATGGATCACACTGAATCATTCATAAGAAAAATATGTTTCACAGAGCGAAGATCGCTTGCAAGACAATTAGCTGTTGATGTACTGGTTCACTTACGTTTGTTTTACCATTATTCTTTGCCCAGCTGTGTATTTTACGATGCGATCGCTTTGAATATTTAACTGATGATCATCCTGTAACGCATAATAGACCGTTTCATCTCTTCTTCGAACAGTTCTTTACAGCAATCAAATATTTCTGTACATAAAACTTTTAGATTTATAAAAATCATTCATACGTAGTAAACGTATGAAAATAAGATGATAATCAAGTGTCACGTGACACGTCTTGTCTGTGGAATATTCATTTTAGTTTTCATGCAATAATACAATCTGAATCTCAATATGTCA